GAGTTCGTCCTGGGCCCAGTACTCTTCAAATCTTGATAAATTACCTAGATAAGGGAATAGAACAGATGCTCATAAAATTTGCAGATGACACAAAACTGGGGGGATATCTTATACCTCAGAAGACAGAGATAATATTAAATAGACTTGATCATTGGGCCTTATCCAACAAAATGTGGTGAGAAATGTAAGATTCTGCACTTAGAAAGGAAGAACAAGTACAAGATAGGTATCTGGCTTAGCAGCTGTACCACAATACAAAAAGGACACCGAGGAACTCAAAAGGGTGCAGAGAAGGGCAACAAGGATGATACGGGACTTAGAAGTTAAATCCTACAAAGAGCAATCTGATATGTTTAGCTTAAAGAAGAGAAGGCTAAGGGGAGATGTGATAGCAGTCTTCCAATACACGAAGGGGTGTCAAAGGGAAAAGTGCAAGACAGGAACCAATGGGTAGAAGCCCTACAGTGAGAAATCCAAACTTGATATAAGGAGTAATTTCCTGGCTGTGAGAGCTATTAAGCCATGGAACAGCCTGTCTCCATCACTGGAGGTTTTCAAGAAAAGATCGGACAGCCATTTGTGCAGAATGGTCTGAGGATTCCTGCCCTAGGCAGAGGGTTGGATCTTCAAGGTCCCTTCCAATCCTAGGATTCTGTGATTTATGATTCTAGTTTGAGCTAACTGACCCAGAGTCACTCACAAACCCATTGCACTAAACTTTGGTTTACTCCCAGTGGTTGAGTTCACAGTATACACATACACCCAAGTGCATCATGGCTTCATCTGATACCTGAATCCAAGGAGAAATCATTGCTGTGGGTTTGATACAATTGAAAGGGTAGAATAAGTTCAGAAGAAAGACAGGTTCAAAATATTTGACCTGAAGATATTGGCCCTACAGGATGTGACACAGCTGAGAATCTAACAGACATCTAATGAAGTTACCAGAGAAGCAATAGCAGAGAGATGGTTCCTGATGCATTTAAACATCTTTGCCTTTCTGACTGTGATGTACAAATTATGTTCATCTGGTGATAAGATTTCACTTACATGTTTGTATTCCCATCAGAATCAAAGAATTGAGAAAAAGGGAGATTAAATGGCTGCATTCACAAAACATGCTAAATGCTCTATGGAATTAACCCATTTTCTAAATTTGGCCAAGACACTGAGCCATAAACACACTGGGCTGGCAGGACATCAGGTTTAAAAGCACCTCAGAAATGTAATAAGCTTAGCATCAGGGATGCCTGACACTAGGGGCCGGGGTGGGCGATCAAATGGCGGCTACAAGTCTGCAGCCACAGCCCTGCTTAATTGTGCAGTTGTGGCTGCCATCATGACTTCAAATACCCATTCCCCTTGCAGATGTCCCATGCTTAGCCTCAACTGAACCTTTACCCAACCTGGTTGTGTGAATACAGCCATTTCAAGCACTATCACACTCCAGCTAAGAGTCAGCACAGCTCAGACTGCTAATGTGGAAGGGGAAAATGTCGAAATATTTGTAAATGCAGCCTAGAGGCTTGGCTCTCACCAACCCAATCAGTCAATGCTCAGAATTCTTACTTAATGCTTAATTAATTAGTTAATGCTAAGAATTTTTGGCAATTAATTATAAGAATCTGGGCCAATGCCTTTTACATAATCATAATCCTGGGAATAGCTGGGAAATATCTTTTGAGGCCCTTATCACACATATGGGGAGGTTCAAAGTGTATTAAGCTCTGGAGCAACTCATGAGACCCTTCTTGACTGGCCCCAGTGACAGCATCAGGCATTAAAAAACATATTAACTCACTGAAAATTGGTAAAAGCCCTGGAGGCACTTTCATCCCCTTGGAAGTTCTTAAGCTGAAACAGGGGACATAAACAGGTAACATCCCGCAAGATGGGTGAGGCCATCATTGCCCCCATACTTAAGAAGGGGAACAGAACGGATCTTGCTAACTATAGACCTATTAGCCTTTTAGGTGTAATTACCAAACTCTATGCACACCATCTAGACTGGAAATAAAGGAAGAATCTATATTGGGTAATGAACAAGCAAATGTTCGTTCCAGGCACTGAACTGTTAATCTTGGGCTGGATTTACTATACAATACTTAACTGAGAAATGTAGCCATAAAGCGAAGACCCCATTATACGTAACCTTTGTAAATCTTAAATCAGCATTTGATCCCATTTCAAGGGAAATCTTGTGGAGGAAATTGGAAAATACTAACACAGACAGATGTTTACTTTTCTCATCCAGCCCCCATCTAAAAATTCTACCATTGGAGTCAGGTGTAACTCACATGGCGTGCTGATCCAATACCTGTTCCGAAAGGAGTTAGACAGGGTTATATTTTGGCCTCCCTGTTACTTAACTTGTACCTAAACTCCCCAACAGGTCATCTGACTGACTCCAATTTACACCTGCCTCAGATTGTGGGTTCTGGAGTACCAGTGCTGCTATTATTATTATTATTATTATTATTATTATTATTATTATTATTATTCAATTTATATAGCCCCCCTCTCATATTCGTGATTCAGATTATATGCTGATGATATGGCTATTATTTCACAAACCTTATTTGGCCTCAGATGGTCTCTTAGAATAATAGAAAGAATACCAAGATTGAGTATCTTCATTATCAGTAGCATATTTTCCAAGCATATTTTCTCTAGTAACTAATTACCAGGGAAGACTTTACAGGTTGGAGCTGAGGTGACTGAAGGTTATCACCCACTCTTTCAGCCAGAGAGACCAAGATCACACTTCACACGGCATATTTTACTTAGCTTGTTTCGGAATTCAGCCAATAAACCAGAGTTCAGAAACTACGGCTAAGTGTCTATTAGCCAATATTTTCCCCTCCCCACAAATCCCAGGGCATTTTAATGATTTTGCCATTTTTCAATAACATGTGAGAAATAGAACAAATAGCCTTGCTCTTAAAGATTTCATTTATTTATTGTTATCAGCTCCATCTTCATGAAGCTGAGGTGAGACCTGCCAAATCCGGCTGTTAAACTACATTCAAATGTGCTTTTTAAATCACAGATTTTTTCACTTGTGTCACATTAACCAGGAACACAAAGTCCAGGAGAACATCCTGGGAAAACAAATCACCAAACTTCTGAACAAGATGTCAAGACTTGTATTTTATGCAGTGCCGCTGAATTGCAACCCTCTTTTGTAGTAGGACTTCAAAACCTCTTTTGAAAACAGAGAGATCCAGTGGTTATTTTCAAGATCTTGAGAGATCATTACAGGTGGGCATAC